GGACACTCATTTTCTTTAGTGTCCTTAGACTCCTTGAATTCTATTCCTTATCGAACGTTCTCTCCCGTTGCATCTGAGACGCTTATGGGGAAACTCCTGTTTACTCTGAATACTGAAGCCTTATTTGTTCATGTTCGTGTAGCTTCATGAACAAATGGCACTTCAGCCCGCCAAAATAGGCAGAGCCCACTGCAATATGAGTCGGTTCTGAACGCCATTTCATCAGAATTTTCTCCTTCAGTGCAAAGATCAGCTACTCGCTGGACTCTGAAGGAAAGCAGCAAGAAGCTTGAAGCCTGCTACTCACAGTAGAAAAGCCCCTGCAGCAGAAGGACACCTCTCATCAGCGCTGTCCCCTGTGGCCATCTGGCGAAGAGCAAATTTCCTAGAGTTTCGTAAGAGCAAATCTCTGCAAAGTTGTTTCAAATGACGCACCGCGAGTGTGGCTCATGCAGGGAACCCGTGCACGCCTCAAAGGCACGGTGAGTGTGTTGCTTGCCTGTGCTCACTGGGACAGACTGCCCTCATTGTGAGAGCATGAGCCTCGACCTGCATTCATGAAGGCGGTCCTCCACCAGCTGCTCTCCCGTTTCTCCTCTCCCGGGAGCCTTGGAGGAAGAAACAGCGGGGCAATGGGACTGATTTATCGGGCTCGAGTGAACTCACGTCAGCACAGGTCCCGCATGCTTCACACTCACCGCAGCCCTCGATATGCCAGTGTATTTCACACATGAGGATCAGCGCCCCTCGTCTGCAGCGAGCGGCTTGATCTTTTTCGGCAGATTGGAGGAGGACGCTGTCGCCGATGACTCCATGTCGCTGACAGCTTTGGATGCAGAGGATTGGGCGTGTTCCAGAGAGGATCCTGGCACCCTTCCTCCCAAAGTCTCAACATGGGTCAGCGTGGACAGCGAGCTGATTCAAAACTTAAAACTAAGGCCGTGGAGGAACTCGGCTCGGATTGGTCAGCTCCAGAAGAGCCCGCCCACAGCCGCTTAGACGAGTGGTACCTGCCAGGATGCCGTCAAAGGTCCTCCCACCAGAGGCCATCACCATTCTTCATGGAAGTTCACAACGAATTTACCAGGATGTGGCGTGCCCCCTACTTGGCGGGCATTCATTCCTCCACTCCTGCCGCCCTCACTTCCAGTGGTTATAGCAAGCTCCCCCCTCTGGAAGAGGTGGTTGCTGCGCATCTCTGCCCTCCATCGGCCCTGGGATTGAAGGCCCATGCGGTACATCCATCCAAGGCCTACAGGACCACCTCTGCTTTAGCAAGCAGGGCTTATCGTCGGCTGGCCAGGCTGGCTCAGCGCTTCGTACAATGACAGTGCTCCAAGTTTTTTATGCCAAACTTCTCAGTACAATGGACGAGTCCAGCCCAAGTTCTGACGCCTTTAAGGAGCTGCGCACAAGACTGACCTAACTCTGCACACTACAAAGGCCACTGCACAGGCAACTGACAAGACCATAGCTAATCTGGTGGTGCTGGAGCGCCACCTCTGATTGAACTTAAAGGGGACATCGGATGCCCATATTCCACAAGTTGGTATGATTCTTTAGAGTCTTCATGAAATGTCTGCAACATACTTTGGTTAAAATTCCTCAATAATCGTGTAAATCAACACCCTTTTTACCTTGTCAAAAACAGCTCTGTTCACAGCGACCCGTTTCAGTGCATGCTTCTGAAGCTTCACTTCATTTTCACTGCAGCTGTAGACTCGAGAGAGTATTCACACTGGAAGCGTTTGTACGGCGTCACAGCAGCAGCTCCAAAGCTACATATTTCTTTACAAAGACACCTGTAAATTTGTTTTTAGAAGTTGGTCAGTTATAAACTTGATTAAAGTCTTGAAAGTTTTTGTGAGTGTGAGCAGTGCATCAAAAATAGACACATCGCTGAAACCATTGCTTCAGTGCTGCTCACGTGACGCCCCTGCTTGACACTCACACGCTGCTTCAGATGTTAATGCATTCATTTGTTAACATGCTTTTTATGCCAAACTTCTCAGTACAATGGACGAGTCCAGCCCAAGTTCTGACGCCTTTAAGGAGCTGCGCACATGACTGACCTAAAAAAATCTGTGCCACTCACACTTGCGTTGTGCAACCGGCCTTACATTCACTTTTAAATTCAACTACAAAACACTTACATTGCTTATGAGATGTTGTCGCTACAGCTGCTCGAGATTGGAGAAAATGGCAGACAGTGTACAACTGGCTGAGGGCAAAAATATGCTAATACGGGACAGTCTGTCAGCTGTAGTGGGCTGAAAATCAAATCAGAAAATCAAAATGGCTTGATAATTGAGTCTGTTTAGGTTTTTGGGGGGATTAAAAAAAAAGGAGTGAATGGATTTTTATCATTGTAGGGTGGTTGTGTCCACACACTGCTAAGACACATTTATATGCAAACACCATGTAAAAGTAAAGTTTGCATCTGATGTCCCCTTTAATAGAGATCAAGGATGTTGACAAGGTTGCCTTCCTCGACTCCCCTGTTTCCCCCAAGAGATTACTCGGTCCTGCCGTGGATGATTTTGCTTAGCACTTCACGGTGACACAGAAGTCATCGCAGGCTATGTGTCATTTCCTGCTAAAGCGTTCTAGCTCGGCAGCTGGTTCAAGTCACCAGAAGGCTCCATCCTCCCAGCAGCCTGCGAAGCATGTGCCGTCTTTGGCCCAGCCTCAGCCCAAATCTGAGCCTGGGCTCCAACAGTTCTCTGAGATGGCTAAACGCTACCTGCTTCCTAAGTGCCAGGGACCCACCCCAGAGTGAAGTTGGACCCTGAGCCACAGAAGCCGTCCTGATCTCAACGCAGAGAGGAAAAGAAGAGGGTCAGGTCCCGCCGAGGCCGGACTGCCCTCAAAGTCTTGCGCTCGCTCTCCATTCCTCCGCTTAGATCTGGGCGATGGATGCTCTGTTCAAGCTGGGCCCGCCCTTGCAGCTCAGTGCGCACCCAAGCAAATTACCACTGTGAAAGCAGACCCATATACTCAAAAGAGCACTATTCTCTTCTCATTACCGAGAATGTCAGTTCCCTGCCTCTATGCGGCGACCTGCTACTCAAAAGACTCAGACCACTTGCCACCCATCTCCAGGCTTGGAAAGCCATCCCAGGCATGTCAAGTTGGGTTCTGCAGACCAGAACGAGGTTACTCACTCCAGTTTGCTCGCAGACACCCTTGCTTCAGAGATGTTATTCAAACTTCAGTACAGGACAACGATTCACACGTTCTCTGGGCCGAAGTGCAAAGTCTGCTTGCAAAAGGGGAAGTAGAGATGGTTCCCCTAGTGAAGAGCGATTCAGGCTTTTACAGCCATTACTTCCTCATTCCCAAGAGAGATGGCAGGTTCAGGCCCATCCTTGATCTCAGGCACCTGAAACGTGCGCTGATGAACCGCCCATTCACGATGTTGACTTTGAAACAGATCCTAGTGCAAATACGCCCTGGAACTGGTTTGAAATGTAACGCAGGGAATTCTGGGAATGTCAATTTACGGTTATTCACTGTAAATTATATGGTCTTTTTCACTTCCAAAAATGGTATACTACCGTAAAATTAATGTCCAATACATGTCATGTCCAATACAGTTTTTCACCGTATATAGTAGGGGAATTTAGCGTTAACCATTTAACAGGTTTTTACTGTAGCATTTTTACAGTCTTTTACCTTTAAATTCACGGTCATTTTTTACAGTGCACCCTATGTTATAATGACCTGCATACTTGTACTGTACATACTTGTATGATTTTAATCTGATTGCATTTTAACTTACATACAACCATATGATTTAATCTCATTTTCCGGCAGTAATAAAACATGATTGAATATTTTCAAGCTGCAAATAAACAGTGTACAATAAAAAGGCATATGACTTTTGAAACAATTTTGAAACAATTATTTTAAACAGAAAAAAAAATTAGGGTTCAAAACACACTCCGTGGCATGTTCTCGATTACAGTAAAGTAATTTCAATTTCTCCCTCTATTTGTAAAAAAGAAACAATAAATCCAATTGAACATGCATTTCACCAGCTGAAGAAGAGACTATAGGCAGGAACTCCCCAAAACAAGCAACAGTTGAAAATGGCTAAATTAAATGCTTTTCTAAGGATGAGACCAAGAACTTGGTGATATCTATGGGTCGTAGAGTCACTGCTGTGATTGCATGCAAGGGATTTGCAGATAAATACTAGCTTTCAAACTTTTACATTTGCTTTAAGTTAAATTGTCCCAATACTTCTATGAGATGGAGGAATTAAACTCTAAAAGTGCCTTTCTTCTTGGTAAAACATGTATGAGCTGAAACAGCCAATAATAAAACATGACATTTTAAAAAATCATATTTACTGTTGTCTTGACTCCACAGCAAAAAGAGCAATTTTGCCTTCACTGTTCCAATACTTTTGGAGGGCACTGCAGATATAGATATTTATGTTTGTAAAATAAATATACAGAAAACTCAGATCTGTCAGTGGCTCCAAAGTAATGTCAATTTTATGCAACAAGTAATGCAAAGGTTTGGCTTTTTTTTTTTTTTTCAAGAATTTAATACTTCTTTCAGCAAGCACACATTAAATTGATTGGTAAAATGATTAGAATGATTTCTGAACAATCATGTGATACTGAAGACTGAAATAATGGCTGCTGAAAATTCAGGAATAAGCACAGGAATAAATTACATTAAAAAAAATATTCAAAAGTTATTTCATTGTAATAATATATTTTTTAACTGATTGATTCATTAATGTTAATTACTAATAACAAATACATTTTTAAATATATGCGTTTGGATGTGAGGAAGTGATCCTCTCACTACCTCTGTAAGGTTCTGCCTTACTCTCATTCCCATTCTTTCATATCCTATTACATTACGATCATACAAAAAAACTTCTGTATGTTCAGAAACTTATAAAGTGGTATCTAAATGTCCTGGTTAAAATTTGACTGAACAGATTTCCTGTATTTACAGTAGGAGGAGCCATGTGTACATATATAAGAGGTACAGTCAGAACATCACAGGACAGCACAGCCAGCAGCAAAACAATCCACACCAGAGGAGACCCAGACAGCAAGGTAAATGTTCTTATTCTCACTGTCAGGAAAAAAGAAAGAAAGAAAAAAAGCTATAATAATATAATAAATAAAAAAATTCCTTGAATGTTTTCAGATGGTTCCAGTGTTGATGTTACTCATGGCAGCTCTTGTAGCTGCAGATGAGCCAATGATGGATTTCTCAGAGCCAGCAGAGTCTGTTTCTGTGGTCCACTGTGATGCTACTACTGCATGTCCTGACGGAACAACGTGCTGTCTGAGTCCTTATGGTGTGTGGTACTGCTGCCCATTCTCAATGGTCAGTGAATCACAGTAAAATTTATAACTTTTTTATACTCTATTAAGTTATGTTTCATGTTTAACCTTTGCTCATTCTTCCCACTCTTTCAGGGTCAGTGCTGCAGAGATGGAATTCATTGTTGTCGTCATGGTTATCACTGCGATTCGACATCGACCCATTGTTTGAGGGGGTGGTTGAGACTGCCGTCTTCTCCCAAGCCGGCCACCAAAGCTATCCAGAAACCTCAGGTGAGTCAGCACTCTGTATATGACGCATATACAGAACTATGCAACCAGTAACTCAAAATATGCAACTAGTAATGCAACCTATCACGAAAACAGTGGTTACAATGACCTACATGCATGACAATCAAATGACTTTTAATCACAATTTCCGCAGTAAAACATTTTCAAGCTGCAAATAATAAACAGTATACAATAAAAAGGCATGTGACTTTTGAAGCAGTTGAAGACATTTTCAGGGTTCAAAACACATTCTGTAGCACGTTCTCAATTACAATAAAGTCACTTCAATATCGTCTGTATCGTCATCGTTTGTAAAATGAAACAATAGGACAATGACTTATTATTATTCAAACATATTTATTTGAGCTGCATATTTGTTTATCTTTGCTGCAGTCTGTGCCCTTTGACCAGGCTCTTAAATGGCAGAGCCAGACGGAGACAGTTCATTGTGATGGAAATCTCTACTGCCCAACTGAGCAGTTCTGTTGCAAGACAGCAGCAGGCCAGTGGGGGTGCTGCAGCGGTAAAACAAACTTTATGCTGCTATCATAATCATGACACTTATATAAATTTAGACGAACATAGGTTTTAATTTAACCCATAAATATAATAAAAACTCATGCAATGTAAAGTTTTGTGTTTGCTCATGTTATTATTTGTATTTCTTTCTTTTATAGAGATGGTGGTGTAAGTAAACCACCCCTGTGACTTGGTTGCAGCTCTTATCAAAGACTGTCAGAGTGCAAGAGGCTTTTGTCACACTTTCACTCCACATGGACTTTTGTTTTCAGTCAGCACCATTTTCCCTTAGTTAGTTTGTTGTTATGGACACTCATTAGTGTCAGCTGTGTTGGATTTAGCCTGTTTGGATTATTAAAAGCTGCCTGAATCATCATGTGTGTTTATTCTAACCAAGCGTGACAGCTTTCAGATATCAAATACTGTTGAGGGAAAGGAATAATATACATTCAAGCTGAATCAATGCAAAATAAAATTTTAAAGAACAGCAGTCAAATGTCATTGTCATTTAATAACTGAACTGTTTGTTTTTGAGAGTGTTTTTTAATTTGTCTATACTTTTTATAATTTATTCATGAATCAATCAGTGTTTGTGTATGAATCTTTTAAGGGGACAAGTTGTTCCTTCACTTCAATGTACTTGCAACAGCTTATGTTTTTGACATACTGAAATCTTTTCAGCAACGTTTGTAATAAATTAGACTACCATGCTGCTGTAATACTTAAGTGTTTCTGTAGTATGTATATATGCATAATATGCATCTTTTCTGTATGCATAATACATAAAAATATATTAACGCCATAGTAGTGGAATAAGCTCATGTGACCAAACACATCCATTTTTGGTGATTCAGTGACTCGCTCAACACAAAACACTCTCACTGGTCACCACCTAGTGGATCTTAAAACAAATAATACTGCTGCATTATAAGGCCAAAAATGTAACAAAAATACATGTTTGGCGTTCAGGTCCACCTGGGTTGAAATCATCATGGGCCCCCCAAAAACCAGGGTCCCCGATAATCGCCACCACCTTTCTCCCCTCTAGCGATGGCCCTGATGGCATTTAACTTTCTTAATGTAATTTTATCAATTGAATAATAACATAGTATATTTGACTGTCCCACATTAGTCAAAACATGCTGTCCCACTTTTGAAACAACCTTTTCTAAAGTGGCATGACAAAGATTGCTTCAAATAGAAAATATGCTTAACACATTTTAACAATATTATTGCAACATTTGATGTACAAATATAATTAGATTTTTTTTTATTTAGAACATTGTTTTATTTATAACAGATTTATATCCTTAACATTAATTTAGTCTAAATCTATGCCACTGACCACTGAGTCGACTTCACAATAGGTACTTCCTGTTTCATGATTTTCACAGCCACATTTATGGCATAATTTCCAGAAAGTCAAGTAATTACAACAACTTGACACACCTGCTTGAATTCAGCACCAATCATGTTAACTATAATGTTGTAAAAGAAGATATAAATGCAGTGAAGCTCAGATGTCCCACATTAGTCAGTGTCCCACATTACACTAATCCACCCTCCCTGCCCTCACAATAATCAGATATGCTGAAGTTGTCCCTCTAGTATTTAATATTTTTGATTCTGCTCCGCTGCATTCCATTAAATTCCGCTGTGTGTTGTTAGGATGAAAAAAGTTTCAAAATAAAAATGTCTAGGGTGGTCTGCCTATGCGGTAAATTCATCATCCTCAGACGTAAAATAGAACAGGGTAAAAACATGTGGCTTTGACAACTGTTTAATTAACGCTTGTGGTTAGGATGGTCATTTAGCCTATTAAAAAATATTTGCAAATAGATCAAATTAATTAGTTTGCGATAAATTGTAGTTATTTAACTACTTTTCTTTATTCATCTCCTTCTAATGTCTTTATGTATTATTTATATCTGCAGGCCATTGTCCTCCAGTTCAGTGTCTGTAGAACACCTGCAGGATCCTTTACTATTATCGCATACATTAAATATAGCCGCCCGCAAGCGGCGATCATCGGAGTCCAAGCACAACCCATCAAATATGCAAATATCAAAAACTTGACATGACGTTGATTTGCTGTAAATTCAATGTCAAACATATTGACTTACATGTACTGTACAAAACCAATTTCAGTGTGGGATTAACTTCCTATTTTCACCCAATTACCACTAGAAGAAATTGCAGTCCAAACTGAATTTAAAGTGATGTTACAGCATCATCATCAATGACTAATATTTGACGTCAAATTGACATCAAGGTGCCGATGGGAAACGCCTTGTGTAGGGTTAAGGCTAGATGGCATACAGCAAAAACTACTGGGCATGTGCACATCAATATAGCGTATTTTTTCTCACACTGTACAACAATTACTATTTTTGCATTATTGTAAGGGGTAGGTGTAGACGTTAAAGGTGCCATAGAATGGAAAACTGTATTTACCTTGGAATAGTTGAATAATAACAGTTCTGTACATGGAAATAACATACCGTGAGCCTCAAACACCTGTTTCCTCCTTATGTAAATCTCGTGCATGCAAAAGACCACTGAAAAATAGGCGAATCAGAACATAACACCGACTGTGACGTTACAGTCGGGATCACTAATAGATACGCCCCCAACATTTGCATATACCCGCCCATGTTCTATGCCAGACGCCAGCCGAACCTGCTCAGCCAAATCATCAGAAGTTCTGCAGGTATTGTGACGAAACAAGCGAGGATAATAGCGAAAATGGCAGATCATAGAAATAAATGTTATGTTCCAGGCTGTGCAGGGGATGTGATGTGCAGGGATGGGTTGGTGTCTGTATTCAGAAAAGCACGGAAAACAAATAGCGTTATTTTCTGTTAATTTCTGTTAAATAAAATATCTCCTTTTGAAGTGGACTTTGAGCTTTGTAACTTTGCAGATCTTTTTTATGCTCAGACAGCAACATTACAGACTAACTAAAGTTGAAAAAGTGAAAAAGCATAATAGGACCCCTTTAAGTACTGCCGCTGTAGTTTACACAGCATGTGCGATCGCAAATCTTGAAAGCGAAAGTAAAAAAGCGATCGTGCATTCGAATATATTAATAGCGGCTCCCTGATGCCCGCATTTTATATACCAACGATATATATGCGAGAGACAGTATTGAAATATATAAATTTTCCCTGTGTTTCCTTCCTGCTGTGTGAGCTACTGAAATGAGCCGCACTGTTAAACAGCCAATCAGAGCAGAGCTCAACATTATTATCCGCATTTTATATACCACCGATATATATGCGAGAGACAGTATTGAAATATATAAATTTTCCCTGTGTTTCCTTCCTGCTGTGTGAGCTACTGAAATGAGCCGCACTGTTAAACAGCCAATCAGAGCAGAGCTCAACATTATTATTCATGACCCTTCCAAATAAGGTAAAAACAGGCCATTGCATTTAGGGACAAATCCTAGGGTTGTGAATGGACATGTAAAACCGTTTCTGTAGATTTTTTGTCCTTAAAGGGGTCATATGATGCTGCTAAAAAGAAGAGTATTTTGTGTAATGATTCGTAAACGACACGTGCGAAGCAGTTCAAAGAATCAGTCTCTAAACCCCTCATTTCCGTGAGCCCTCCCTGCTGTGATTGGTCAGATGGCGCAGTCCTTTGTGATTGGTCTACCACGTACAGCGCGTGTCGGAAATGAAACGCCCATTGCCATGACGGAATGACAGCCCCGGAGATTTAGAAAAGATACATAGAAAAGATGGTACTGATTGTACCATACCAATTCGAGCCGGAGTCTGATGATGAAACGGCTGAACTGGCTAATAGACAAGAGATTGATTCGCAAGCACGACTGGAGCAGGACGTTTCTCAGTGGTAAGTGTCAAGTGTTAACAAGTTTGTGGTAATTATAAGATGTGATAAAACAAATTTACTCTCACAGCGTAGGACACAGCGTCTTCTCGACATGATGTTAATCACACGGAAATTTTACTGTTTGTGGGCGGGCAATTTGGCGACGTAGAACGTGGGCGGACATTATGCAAATGTGTTACTTCGTGGCGTAGAGCCATAACAGAATAAGATTCGAATTCCTGACGACTCGTTTAGGCGATTGCAAGCAGACTCATTTTTTTGGAAAGACGATAACTTTATTTATCATGCACTGTCGGCTTCACAACTTTGCAGATAGTTTATGTTCACATACAGCTACATGACGCACTACATGAAAGGTAATATTTGAAAAGGCATAACAGGGGCACTTTAACGTTACACAAAATAACTGTTGTTTAGACTACTTCTATACTATTTTTACTATTTTAATGCGAGACATCTCATAATAATGAATGCCTAACATCGAAGTAGGATCTTCTAAGCTGCTCTTGAAGGCAGTATTTGTATTTGTCTGGTCATGTGACCTCAACATGTCTGTCCACGAGGTGTCCCACTCCATGACAAATAAAACCTTTTTAATCAGGACACTCATATGACATTCTTCAAAAATATAATTTCTTTCTGTAGAGCTGGACATTTTAAAAAGGATCAAATGGGTGAGTTCAGCTTTGATAATGAAAACTAACCTGTTTGTTCCTCAGTATCTTCTTGTTTCAAGCTGAATACTTCTTCAATCTTAATGTCTTCACTCTCCTCCTTAATAAACGCCATCTTTATAATAGTGTCACGTGGATCTCTGCTGCTTCACCAGGAGTTTTTCTGTGTGTTTGGATCATTTGTCATGTTTAAGATAAGAATAATTAATATAAAGAAAACTAGGCTAAATCTCTTGAGTGCATCTCAATCAGCTTCCTGGTTCAGAAGTCAATGGGTAGGTGTAGTAGGTGTAGACGTTAAAGGTGCCATAGAATGGAAAACTGTATTTACCTTGGAATAGTTGAGTTCTGTACGTTCTGTACATGGAAATAACATACCGTGAGCCTCAAACACCATTGTTTCCTCCTTCTTATGTAAATCTCGTGCATGCAAAAGACCACTGAAAAATAGGCGAATCAGAACATAACACCGACTGTGACGTTACAGTCGGGATCACTAATAGTTACGCCCCCAACATTTGCATATACCCGCCCATGTTCTATGCCCAGCCGCCAGCCGAACCTGCACAGTCGAATCATCAGAAGTTCTGCAGGTATTGTGAAGAAACAAACGAGGATAATAGCGAAAATGGCAGATCATTGAAATAAATGTTATGTTCCAGGCTGTGCAGGGGATGTCATGTGCAGGGATGGGTTGGTGTCTGTAATCAGAAAGGCATGGAAAACAAATAACAAGCCACTAAAGGGACATGGTTAGCTGCTTGCTAGCGGTAGCCTGTTACATTATAGTACGTAAGATTTAACTTACCACATAAACAGAGTAAGAAGAGATGACCGAGGATGATGGAGAATGATTTACAGATCCTGAGCACCACTGACAAGCATCTGATCTTGTTAAATGTGTGGTAAGTACTGCCGCTGTAGTTCACACAGAGCACGTGCGATCGCAAATCTCCAAAGTGAAAGTAAAAAGCGATCGTGCATTCGAATATATTAATAGCGGCTCCCTGATGCCCGCATTTTATATACCAACGATATATATGCGAGAGACAGTATTGAAATATATAAATTTTCCCTGTGTTTCCTTCCTGCTGTGTGAGCTACTGAAATGAGCCGCACTGTGAAACAGTCAATCAGAGCAGAGCTCAACATTGAGCCGCACTGTGAAACAGCCAATCAGAGCAGAGCTCAACATTATTATACATGACCCTTCCAAATAAGGTAATAACAGACCATTTCATTCTAGAGACAAATCCTAGGGTTGTAAATGGACATGTAAAACCTTTTCTGGAGATGTTTTGCCCTTACCTAAGCCACATACCTTCTATGTAGATATCAGAGAACAATTTAAAATATTGTATCAATGCATTCTATGGCACCTTTAA